TTCATTTTCAATTCTCACTCAAGACGAATTTCAATCACTTATCGTTTGTTCATAAATTAAAAAAAAAAATATATATATATATAGCGCTCATCAAGCCAAAAAGGCATAGGGCTGACCAAGCTTGCCCCTCCTCAAACCCCTTTTTTTAGAGGAAAACTTATGTAGGACTTTGCTTGTCATTAAACTTTGCTGATTGACATTATAATCTAATAAAAACTTATCTTTTCTACTAATTAATATAAACCATGACATTAATCAAATTGACACGCTCATGTTAGTAAATTTAGTAAATTTACTAACATGAGCGTGTCAATTTGCTCTATTAATTTCAATTTCTTTGTACTGTTCAATACCACAAACTCTCAGCAAATTGAGGGTACTTTTGTCATTTCATTCTTCTTTAACAGAGACACTAAAATGATTGATGATGGACAAACTCATGGATCAATTCTATCGATGTCAAATCTCGAGGACCAAAATGAAGAGTTATAAAAATCTCATAGACCATTTTTTTAAGTGACAAATTTTAAAGATTCAAAATGAATTTTGATAGATTTATATGGATTTCCCTTATAGATTTCTATGGATTTGTATGGACTTCTTTCATAGATATCTTAGGATTTTACTCTTACAGTATATAAAGTGAATTTCTTTCCTAGTACGAAAGAAACATAAATTAATAGAGAGATCCATGGTGTAGAAATTGTAATTTCTAATGTAAGAGAATTTTTGTTAGGGGTTTCTCACCAAATATCAATATGCTAGAAATTGCATTTCAAAGAAGATACCTGATTGGAGTAAAGCTTCAACCTTTAATCACCAATCAAAAGCTTCACAGTGCCACCTTACTCGTGAGACCAATATACACCACTAACAATCTACAATAACTTTAGCAAAACCAACACTTTAAAGTAGAGTAGACTCATTTGGGGTATAATTTCAATTCAGTTACATATAAGCAAACCAGAAAGACCCACAACTTAGTCACATAATATCATTAATTAAATTAAACACATCATTCATTAAACATAATCCAACATAAACCAACATAATCCAGTTAACAAAAAGTATGAATAAGCCAATTAAACATAATCCAAAATAAGACGAACTAATAAAAACTAATGTATCATGAGTCAAATCACATATCATTTCAAATTATAATGTATCCAATTTGACCACTCTTCTGGTGACATCTTCAGAAATGCATCCTTTTTGGTTTTAGTATTGAGCAAAGCGATCGCTTGATAGTGAGCAGGTTCATCCAAATTTGGGGTTTCCATGATGGCATCGCATATAGAATTTTGTCTCTCTCTATCCTTATCCCTTTTCTCCAACAGACTATGGATTCCTCGGAAGTCAGTGGCACTTGAACTGAGAGTAAGTGAAATATTTTCCATAATTCTAGCTTGATTAGTTGTCTCAGATGATTTAGTATTCCCTTGGTCTTCGCTTCTGTTTCATTCCCTATGGTTGGTGATTGGTGTGGGAATCTCTGAGCCAATGGCTTGAATGGGTAAAAATGGGGATAATTGATCGAATGATGAAGCTTGGTGTGATGCTTCATTTTGATTTAGTACAAACCCCCACTTTCCTCATTGTAAAACAAGTTCTCTATTCCAACTTGTTCATCTTCCTCTATTCCACCTTGTTTATCTTCCACTATAAAAGTTCTTGCATTAGTTTCCTCACCCAATCCCAATGAGTGTTTTCCAGTAGCAGTTGCATCCCTAAGTACGATTTGCAAATCTTCAAAGTCATCACAATTTTTTTACGAATGCTTGTTTGGTTTGGGTGGGCCTACAAAATAAACAAGAAAATCACAATTGTTTAATAAACTATAAGTATACACTCAAGTTACATATAATATTTTAAATAAAAGCCAAGAAGCTCACCCTAAAGCATTCTTCCCAAACTTCGTCATCAGCAACAAATCTTTTTGTGTTTGCATCCCACCCAAAGCCAGAGTTGCTTCCCATAAGTTGAGTATACTTTTCGTATTCTTTCTTAAAAGATCTCATTCGACTTGTGTAATGCTTATAAGTTTTATTACACTTTAGTCTTTCATTAAGTGCCGGAAGTATTCTTGTTGTCACAATATCTTTGGTTAGCAAACCATTAGCATCACGCCATCCACACAATGTAGCTTCAACGAGCAATTGTAACAACAGTTTGCTCTCTTCCGAAGTCCAAGCGCTATAATCACTCTTGGCCTTCACTTTTCCAATTTGACTACACCATGATTTCAGAATCTTTTAAAATCCTCTTTTTAAACTTTAATCAACTACACCCGGATTATAAAGTCTATTTAAATCCTATCAAATCTTAATTTGATTACACCCCTCAAAGTTTCAATCATTTAATTCAATCTCCGGGTTTATAAGATATATGTGTATGGTCATTGATCCAAGGGACACAATGATATGACCTCAGATGAACGGATGCCGTAAGGGTTTGGTTTGTGGCGATGAAAGAATCGGCACGTGTAGTGGTGCTTGATGATATTTCACAGATGTGACAAAGAACGCAGAGGGATTTATGGGTCTTCTGAGTGTTTGAGAGTGTATGGTCTTGAGAGTTTGAGCATTTGAGTGTGACGATGAATTTCTCATCATTTTTATTTGTCTTGAAGCCTCGTATTTATAGGATCTCAATTTTTTTCCTACGGTTGGATTTGACCTTGATTGTGGACTTGATCAATTGACGAAAGAATGAAAGACTTGATTTTGTGCTTGGTTCGTGGTTTGGCTTCACCAAATAATTAAATAATCAATCAAATTTTAAATTTAAATCAATTAATTTGTTTGATTTAAATTTAAATTAATCAAAATATTATCTTTAATTCTTTGATTAATTAAGTTTCACCAAATATCGATACGTGTCACTCTTGATGACTCATCTGATTTTGATGAGTTACATATCATGTGTACAATTTGTGAGATACACGGTGCATGCCTTGTAAGTCCTGACATGTCGAAATTTAATATGTTGGTGAACATTTCACCGAAATGTTCAATGTCTACAATCATCTTCAACAGAAATGACTAATAGCCCTCTCAAGAATTTATTAGTTTTAAATTTATTCTTTAAATTTACTAATTAGTTTAATTAAATTTATAGAATTCAGACAACGTGTTCATATTTCATTTATATAGATGTTGCCAAAGCCTTCTTGACGACTCTCGAAGTTTAGTGCCAATATCCCATGCATGATTTTTTTTGGTGAAGATCCCATGCATGAATTTAAGTATTCATAAAAGCAAGATTTGCTTTGCTGAAAGATCTTCTTCTGCCAGCATCCCATGCACTTTCAAAAGTAACCTTTTCGTATTTTGGCATCCGTCGTTAATTTGTTGTCGTCACTGGTCGTGGTTTGCACGATCATTCAATCAATCTCCAGAAAAAATACATTTATTTAGGTCATGAAATTGATAGACTGGTAAGATTAATAGTAACAACTAACAGCATGTAAATTAGAGTTTATATAAGATTATATTTCTTAATTGGTTAATTACAATAACACTACCTGAGATTTATTGAGTTTTCACAAAACATTCTCACGTTTGAGACATTACACAAATACGCTTTCAGGTTTTAATTCCTTTTCATATAATCTCTTGAGTCAAAATTTGTCTTCTAAACTTACCAATTGACCCTTATTAATTACTTGAAGCTAATTAAACAAACTTTATAGTTTTATAAAAAAATTATAAAACATTAAACACTTAAAAAGAAGAAGACCATGTGGACAAAACAAATTAAGAAAAAAAAATGTAATTATACTTTTGAAAATAATATTTTATTAAAAAAGGAAGTTGTTCATCTTCTTCTTGCCTCCCACCTGATTGAGTAACTACGTCCATTTCCATATCCTCATTTTTTTCTCCATCACCACCATCCATTCAAACTTTTAACAAATAAAAAAAAATGACTTCTGTGTAATAAAATTATAATTTCATTTCTCATTTCTCACACTTCTGTCTCTAGTGTCAAGTTCATAACCAAAAACCCAAATGAGCCAAAAACGTCAATTTGACAGCTTCGTCCTCTGGTCCTTTATTTATTCTCTATAAATTAATGGCTTGGTAGAAAAATTTGAAACTTTGGCATAAACAAGTTGAGAGACTCTCAAACATCCTTCAATTGGAATCACCCCAAAATTCGTCCGTTAGATAACTTTTGGCTCAAGAAGAAGTCGCATGTCCTATATTGAAAATATAAATTAAAGTATCAAAATTCATCAAAGTAATTACCAAAACATAAAATTGACTCATCACGAGTAAGTGTTCTTAATACACAAAAAATTCTCGAAAATTATAATTAATTCAGAAATTTTAGTACCTACCATCGAATGAATCCATATATGTATAACACATTGTATATTTATTCACAATATACTCAAAATTATTATCAATAACTTGTATATATTACCAGGAGACGGTGCTACAGTCGCAGAAAATTCTTAAAAGTTAACTCGTGTATAGTACGTAGCTCTAAGTTCCTATTAGCTAGAGGTCCTTATCGTGCAAGATTAAGCCAGCACCATTGCGCATAACCTTTTAGAAGGAAGCTAGGGTTACTCACCAAAGACAGATTGCCACGTACAATACTTGAGCAACGACCAGATGTCATATCTAGAGAAAAAAAAGTCTGTACTAATCATGTGCTTTAATAAGAATAAATCATGTAATATATTCTCGAGTACTAAAAAACGAAGAGCAGCATGTCAACGGAAAGCACATTTACCATATGCACTTATTTAACCGTTCTTTGAGGGTATCTCACAATGAGGGTCTACCATTGATTTAGAGCCTCACAGTTGCTTGGAACCCGATTTTCTTCCCAATAATGCAAAGACATTGTTGGAGTTCTACTTTCTAACAAATGAAAATATTGCATGAGCGAACCATCACTAGGTCGTAAAGCTAATGCTCAATAGAACATATTCTTCCATCTATTATATATATAGACTGCATGCGTACATATATTTTCAAAGTTAAAACCAAATATTGCTTTCGTGAGCCTTAGAGCCTTAGTTGTTTTGGGTTTACCATATCTAACTTTGTGGATCTGCTTTTACGTGAATGCTGATGGCCATGGCAATTAGAGGCGGGGTTGCCAAATCGAAGATGTTTATGCTTAGGTACTATTTTCATTATCAATTAGCTAAATTGATCATTTGAGTCCATAATTATCGATAATAGGGTTAATAATATGCATGCATGCCACAGTTCATATTGCAGTGAAGCTAAGCAAGCGCAAGGAGATCATCGACGCCATTTCAGCAGCAAGCTGAGGGGAGCTGCAGAGAACATATCAAGCAGAATGGTTCAAAGTGATAGTGAGGATACTGACATGATGGAAAGGGAGACTGGCAGTAATAGTTCATCGTCATGGAGGTGTAGCTGGGTGCCGCATCCAAAAACAGGAATATATGTTCCGAAAGGGCATGAAAAGGTGATGGATGATGTGCCTAAGGGAGCTGCTTCCTTTAACCAGACTTTCTGGCTCCGGAATGTCGACGGAGTACTTGAAAAACCCGATCCGGATACTCCTCCCGAGCATTACTATCACTACATGCATATGTAATGTGACAAATGGAACCTGATTCAACTCATTGTGATCGTGATCAAGTGTTATAGCTGAGTTATTAATTAAAGATGATCAAAATTAGTAGAGGGTTAGCTATTCTGAATAATATGGCCACATATAATTAACTTGAAGCCAGGAAGGGTCTCACGACTATGTAGGCTGTATAGCAGCGTAATAAGCTTGTCTTAATGATTTGGCTGCATCATGGTGCTAGTCATTTGTAATTAAGGTAATAAAATATATATTTATTTAAAATAAAATAATAATGTTTACACACCCACAACGGGGTTTTAAGTCAGAGTGTTATAAGACCTACCTTGTAAAATGTTTCTTTGCTAGTTTTTGGTCAATCAGTGTTCCATATTTCTCCCATCGTACAGATTTTCTTTCATACATGTTAAGAAAAATGGAGCGTACAACCTTCATAGCGTGGCTGCAAGCTTATTTTGTGTGGTGATCCGTAATGATAGGTAGATTAAATTTATAAATTATTAAATAATGTGTTATTAATAAAAAATAAACACATTAATCAACACTTAAATAATAATTCAATCATCAACTTCCATGTTATTTAGTTTATAAAATTTTATCTACAAATTTAGTCTCCTTAACATTACCCTTGTGTGATATACATCTTAGTGTTGTTTCCTGCAAAGGCGCAAACATATTCAAATCATACTGAGTCTCATTGATACTACATTCACAATTCACACGCATGTTTATCGTATTTTTGAGGTTGACTAAACTGTAAAATCACGGAAAATGAGTTATTTCATAGGGCAATCAGCTTAAATATACATGTTTTGACATTTGGTTGCACTTTGGACCACATTTTCTAAAAATTCTTTTGATCAAATTTATTTGTGAAATGTCCATATTGCCCTTCACAAATCAGAAAGGGAGCAAAATAGCAGTGACACCCTAACGACACCCAACAACACTCCCCCTTTTTTATGTTGAACCACCACTCAAACAACAATATCACAACTCCACAACTTGACTCCAATGATTTTTAAACAACCAAAAATCATTTTCAAAGAACCCCATTTAATAGAAAAGGACTTACATTTTCAATTTATTTAAAACAAAATTTTTATGATTCTGAACCATCATTGCAACAATCTGATGACGCCACTACGACACTGCAACAATACTCGCTTTTATGATTTTAAACAAACACAACCATAACAACAATCTGATGACGCCACAACGACACTCAAACAATACTCCCCATTTTATGATTTTGAACCAACACAACCACAACAATAGTTTGATAACATCCTAACGATACTCCAATGACACACACCTATTTTATGATTTCGAACCACCACAACCACAACAATTCACTCAAGAACTCTCTTCTTCATTCCCCAACCACCACAACAAAATTTCAAAATCGAAAATTGAAGAAGAATAAGAATGGACATGAGAGGTGGAGCAACCGAAAGTTTATCAACTACTTGCACGGTGTTCCAAATGTTTATCAGTGCTCTAAATTCGATTAGTCAAGGCAGAGCAATCAAAGATTGGATATGAGAATGTCGTTAGGTTATTGCTGTGTTTTTTATGGTTTATGACCAATGAAGAATATGTTGACCAAAAGAAAAAAATTTTATGAAGGACATTATAGATTTTTAATAGGAAAAGTTGATCAAACAACAATATTTAAAAAGTTTGATTAAAGGTGCAACTAAATGTCAAAAGATATTGTTCCTTAGAAAAAAGTGTTGTTTTATCAATAGCCTCTCCGAGACCGAAAGAGGTGGATAACCGTGACTTGTCACCATTTGTTCCCCTTAAAAAAACAAAAAAAACCAATAACGATGCTTGCATGGATTACAAATTGAGTCATGTCAAATTCACTATCCACAATTTAGTTAGAATATCCTCTCATTTGTAAAAAATATATTATATAATACCATCTTATCTTTACTAATAGAATGTGAGAAGCCAACTTCTGTGTCCCAAGCTTCACTAAAAAATAATTGGACAACAATCGTTACTAATCTTTATATATAAAGCCAGCAGCCCCAATTTGGGGTCACGGCTTTACCAAAAAATTTTGGACAAAAATGCCCCTAAGACAAAAAAGTTTAAAAGCAACCCAAATTAATGCATCAAATAATACATGGGTATTTTTATCATATAAGCAGTGTTTTCTAATAATTAATTTTTTTTGTACGGTTTTTTTTTAATTTTTTAATTTTTATAATTAGTACCTCCCAATAGGCTAGCAATAATGTGATTCAATCAGTTGTTTATTAAATATTATTTTCTCTATTTTTAAATACGTTCAAAACACCTTAAGAGGCACGTAGTGCCGGTTATAACAAAAAGTATTTCGCATTCGCATAATAATGTGATTCAATTAGTTGTCAAATGATTGTTTTTTTGTTTTGTTTTGAACAAACGATATCATCTACATTAAGGGGGAGGGAGATGAACTCAGCTTCACGATGGACGAATAATAATGTGATTCAATCAATTGTTTATTAAATATTATTTTCTCTATTTTTAAACACGTTTAAAACATCTAGGGTCACGGCTTCACCAAAAATTTTTGTACAAAAATGTCACAGCCCGTCCTGAAATAAATCATCGATGACGTGAATTGACTATTTTACCCTTGGACGTGAGTGTGGTGGTGTGTAATGTGCATGTTAGTGGTGGTCCAAACTTACATTTTTCCTTAATTTTTGGACCAAATTAGAACTTAGTTTTTGTGGTTTTGGTTGTGACCCACGTGGACCACTCACACACACACAAACTCTTCCTCTCTCTTCTCTCCCATGCTCTCTCTCCCTTGAACTCACTCTCTCTCCTTCCCTCACGTACGGATCAACAACAACATTAGTTGAAAGTTGCAGATCGAGGGTTTAAAGGACACCATCATGTTCCTGAGGTTCATGCGAGTTGAATGGTACCATTTTTAGGTAAGAACTCCTTTGAAAACCCTAGTTTCTCTTGAACTCTGATTTAGGTACTATTCATGCAATCGTAAAATCTCGTGTTTTTTGGGATTTCAAGCTTATAGGTAGCTTAAGGAGGTCCTCTTGAGGCTAGGAGTGATTCGTTGGAAGATTTTGGATGTCGGATTATCGAGAACCACGAGTTTTAAGAATTGCTGGAATATCGAGGCTTTCCGGTGGTTTCAGGGCTCAACTCAGGTATGGTTTTGTTCATCTTGGTGAGATCTTCAAAATGGTTCAAGTTTCATGAAGTTTGGTGTTAAAACGAGAGAGATATAAGGATTTGAAATTAATTAAACCCAGAAACTAGCGAAGTTACCAGCGTCTGGCGACTCGTCGGAGAAGATGAGGGTATGTTCCGTCAGTTGTGACGGAATATGCTAACGACATTGGATGACGCCGTTAATAATTGACGGAATATGCTTGTTTTTTGACGGAATATTCCCTAACGCCGTTAGGGTTACTGTCAGTGTGCCTGGCACGTGCCCGCGCTTGGGTGGCGCGTCAGGCCGAGCATTGGCCGGCGCGTGGGTGGTCGGAAAAGTTTTCTAAAAATATGGGGATGTTCGTGAGGTTGTGTAGATCACGTTGGTATATTCAAACATCCCATTTGAGCAATGTATGAGAAGTTATTAGCTAGTATTGGTTATGTGCTTTAAATTAATGTTTTTATAGTTATTTCGCATATAGAGGAGGCTTATCCCAAGGACGAGCGCAGTCAAGGGTGACTCAGGGGCTATGACCCTTCAACATATCAGTGAATGGACTTTTGGTTTTCAGTATGTTGATGCACAAAATCATTGAGGACTTTGGTACAACAGAAAGTTTTAAGTTTGTGACCTTCGTTAAATTGCTCCGGTTACTGGTGTGGATAAGTATGTAAATGGATAGGGACAGGGAAGCAAACACAAGATGTACGTGGTTCACCCAGATTGGCTACGTCCACGAAGTAGAGGAGTTCTCATTAATTGTGAAGGGTTTACACAAGTACATAGGTTCAAACTCCTTTAGTGAGTACTAGTGAATGATTTAGTACAAATGACATTAGGAAATATTGTGAAAGAATGATCTCTATTTATAGAAGAGAGTTTCTAGTTTCATTCTGACATTGACACGTGTCATGTTGTGATTGGCTTCTGATGTTGACACGTGTCGCGCTATGATTGACTTCTGATGTCGACACGTGTCGCGCTGTGATTGGCCTCCTGGTTGGAGGGAAACTCTTTTGGGTCCTTGACGGTATAACGTTGACCTATGCTCAGTTGTTTTGGGATTGGTCAAGTATAGTACAAATAGTGCTCCCCTAAGTTCCCGAGTGAAGGAAGCTCCTCGGTTGGGGACTTGCAAGATCCAAGCCATTGAGTAATCACGAAACTTCTAAGTACCGAAGTGTGGTATCATTTTCACTTGCCTTATCTGTCTCATATGTAGATGTGGCATCTTATCTGGAAATACTTTTCCTCCATCCAGGGGTGGTATCTTTAATCGATGAAGATGCACAAGGTAATGTATCAATTTCACTTGAAACTTACTTGTAGTTTCGGGCTTGGTCAAGTGCGATACAAACCCTATAGTAAGAGGCCCCCAAGTTGCCGAGCTAGGAGATTTGCCGAAAGAGGTAACAGACAAGGTAAGCAATCAGACTTCCAAGCAAGCAACCTGGATCAGAGGTTCGACTTCGGCTTCCGGTTGATTGTTCTCATTCTTCTTGTGTCGTAAACAGCAATAAGGATAAAGAGAAGCAAATGGAGAAGAGATGATATGAAATACTTTTGCTTTTGAAGAAGTAACTTTCCACAGGCTTATTCTTGAACTGGGCTGGAGGGTTTTCTGGTTTCCTCCAGAGTATAAGGCCGACTCAAGAATTTGAGGGTCAAAATAAGTTCATCAAATCAAGAATGTGTTCGACCTTGATGATATGGGATACTTTTGCTGTTGACGAAGTAATAGATGAATCGGCACGTGTTCTGTTGCGCTTGTCTCTACATGCTTCCTTTTATCCTTCTCACTTGCCCTATCTGTTCTTCAGGCAGATGTGGTATCTTTTCTGGAAGCATAAGATGTTGAAGATGAGTACTCGAGAGCATTGCCAGGTAAGTAATCAGGCAAGGGGTTTCAAACAGTCAGTTCCTAACTAGAAGCTTGATTTCAAGTGCTGACTGATTGCTCTCTTTCTCCTTGTCTTGCAGGTAAGAATAAGGGCAAAGGAAAAGACAGGGAAAAAGCATGATATGGGATACTTTTGCTTTTGACCCTTATGATATAAGATACTCTTACTCTGGTGTGGCTGGTTTGCATAGGTATT